TGCGGGGAGTTGATTAAGACAGGCTGAGTAAGGCGTGGTCAAGCCTGGTGTGATAACGTAGGTAGTCTACCATACTGAACCTCCGCTTAAGCTCCATTTTCATTCTTATTCAAATGTTTGATCTATAATGAAGGTCTGATTAAGGGAATGATTAAATGTCTCAATATACAACAAATGTCTTTGATTAGGAAAAGAGGTCGTTTACATTCTCCTACAGCTGTGATCCCGGAGCCTGTGGCATAATGCTGCTGCTCCTGCTGTATCTACTGCTGTATCCACTGCTGCTGCTGCTGCTGCTGGAGAAAGGACAGTGCTTTCAGAGGACAATGCTGCTGTTGCGCACGGCCGAGTTGGAGAAAGGCTATTTTGATTCCTATGAATTTACTTTAAATTGACAACAGTCGCTTCACAATTTTGATTATTATTAATTCAGTTTACACATGGTAGTATAACACTACAGAAGCTGCTAATCTTGTCTCGAGGTACCCCAGACACCAGGAGTCAAGGCAATGTGGGTGAAGGGTCTTGCATAACTTCGCCTTTCGACCGTCATCTATCAAGTCTGTGGCAGTAAGAAAGTAAGTATACTTTTATTGTCCACATTTGCATCCTCTGCCCATCCTTCAATGCCACTTGGGAAAACGGTCAGGACCTGGGACCCCATCTCCAGGCGTTTAAGCTCTGGATCAGGACCTGAGCTGCATGTAAATCCCAGAACGTTTGACTGAAATAAGACACACAATATTATTTGTTAATATTATCAAGTGACAGACAGAGGCTAGAGTAAAATAAGGGCCTCTGGATGGGCCTGAGGAAGTGACATTTCCCAGTTTCTCTCAGAACAACAAAGAGTCGGACCAACACAGAAAAGAAAAGGTTTCTTGCAGCTGGTTTTCTGCATTATATCCTTTTCTTTCAGACAGATTCCAGATTTCCAAAACAGACAAAAGTTTTGTTATACCTACACCTTTCTGAAAACCTGTGTGTGAGATATCGGAAATAATTTATGTTTGACTGGTAAAATAGTCGAAAATCCTCTTTGAAAATACTATTTAGTAGTGTTGGTTGAAGTATACACAATTAAAACCTCAACATGTAGACCCACATAACCTTTAGAGTGCTGTAAGTCATCAGCACAAGGCCGGAACACCGGCACAGAACTGTGCTAAACTGTGAGGAACAATGGCTTATTCCAACGCAATTACGCCGCGCCACTGGTTCAAAAGCCTTTACGGAGTTATTAAAGCTCCGCTCCCGGAGAGAAGGGAGATGTTCCCAATGTTTTATCCCTCTGCTCGTCCAATTACTGCCCAAGGACACAGCAGTGCTGGGGAGGAGGGGGAGGAGGAGGCCATGTGGGGACCAAGATGAGGGTTAGCAGGTGTTTGCCGCTCAAGGCTTCGAGGAATCTGAGAAATGCTCAAAAAGTCCACCCAAGAACTAAGAAAAATCTTCCTTTTATATTTGAAGGGGCAAAATACATAGAATTACAGAAATAGATTTCCAAATGTCAAAGTCTCACACTGTACACAATAGCTGATTGACAAATATGTTGAACAATTAATAACACTAACACCGTTAAATGTAGTTTTAAATACATACACAAACTATCTATCTTTAACTTTATACTGTCCGTACGGTCCCTGAAACTGGCCACACCAACATGACCTTATGGATAATGTCAAATCAGTTATGTAGAAGGATCTAAAGGACACGCTGGTGACACAGGTGGAGTCAATAAATACAGTTACTTTTCTGAACTACAGTATGTTAGGTTAGGTTCTTTTATTCTTTTCATGAAAATGCACCGTTTTACAAGTGACATACATTACACATTATTTTGATTAATACTTCACGTCCTTAAATGACCCAGTGACTTTTGGGGGGTGGCTTCACACTGGTGTGTGATTGTGTTTAATGTCAGTCTGGTTATTACTCTATGTGAGCGTGTGCACGCTGTTACCTTGTATTTGAAATGTATACTGACATTTCCACACTTTGGGACAAATAGAGGATATTGAATCGTATTTCTTGGTCTTGCTACAACGGCTGTGCCAACAAATACAAATGTAAGCCATCTCAAAATGGAGAAAAGATAATTTAAAAGAAAAAATCTTTATATGCAACATTTGTACAACGGGGCGTTCTCACCACCAATGTCTACAACACATGTTAATTTAATTTCAGCCTGAAAAGTGACGTACTGCTTTGATGCTAGCGAGTTTAAGCTAGCAGCTTTTTGTGTACAGTTCTGCTCCAAGTCTCTGTGTCCAAGTCCTGAGATCCTCCAAAGTCGTCATATAACAGCAGTATCTGCTCAAAGCACTGCACCACGGATGAATTATATTATTAACCGTTACTTCGGTATCTATCATGTTGCTGGTTTATAGCTAAAGGAGAATGTCAACTCTGACTGGAGGCATTTGTTCACAAGCAACGTGTCCCCCATTGTCAGTCCTAGTTTAGTCCTGGTTTAGTCCTGGTTTAGTCCTGGTTTAGTCCTGGTTTAGTCCTGGTTTAGCTCTTGTGAACACCCCTTAACAGTAAGTAGCATATGCATAAAAGAAGTGTATGCAAAAAGTGATATATTTGTATTAATCAGCAAATATCATCAATACTGATGGATACATGACCGTACATAAAGTAAATTATGTTCAACAGATATGTCATAGCTGAACGTGTGCACTATTGTTTATTAGCTTATTAGTTACTTAGAAAGGTTTATAATTGATGTATTATGTGTTTGTATTGATGTGTTTCTGCTGCTGGACACCTGAATGTCTCCTACAGGGATCAATAAAGTGTGTCTCTCTCTCACTATTTATCTATCTATCTAGAAATATCAGACAGAAGCTACAATTGAATTTACCATAATAATAAAACTACCCTGCCTCCATTCTTCACTTTCTCACTGGACAGACAGATTTGTCTTGCAGAGAGCACAGGCGTTCAACTTTTTTAAGTTCAGCGCACATGATAATCTTAGTTGGGAGTTCCACAAACTCGCTGCAGTGAAAGAGAAGGCAGATCTACTGAAAGAGCCTCCATATTTTGGGACGCAGCGTTCTCCTCTCTCTGTAGATCGAGTGGCATGTGTCACATATTTCCTCAGATGTCAGGCTGTAGACATTCTTGTTAAAAACATAAGATGCGGTGGGATTGTTTAGGTTTTCTATCATGACATTTTAATGTCTTTAGGGATTCTAGAGACCCCCGAGCAGATTTAAAGAAGCTATACCCGATTTTTTTTCTAAGTAGTTCATAAAAATGCTTTTTACTACATACAAGTTGTATCATAATACATAATTTAATTGAAAACTTGAGGTCATTGATTCAGCTGTGTATGAAATTCAGGCCGTGAAAAGTGCTGAGTGGAGTCTTAGCGGGACGCTCGTTCTCCTCTACTCACAGAACGAGCAGCGGACAGCCTGCGTCCTCTAGCCTCTACAGCGCTGCTAAACACCAGGACTTCAACTTCAAAATTCAAATATAATTCTAAAATAAAAAATATATACATATTTGAACAAATATTAGACAACCCTTATAATTAGAAATGTATTTAATGACTGCAAATAAAATAGTTAGCTCCCAAATGTTTCACCGGGACGTGCTAGGCAGGTAACAGCTAAGCTAGCTAGCTGTTTCTCGGTAACTTCCGGGTTTTTCGCAATCGCTTTTTGTCACATTAAAACAGTATTTTTGTCATGAAAACGTTGACAGCAAATTCTGAAACAGTCCGTGCATGTGTGTTAAGGATGTATATGTGTACTGTATTGTCCGATTAACGTTTAATGGTGTTGATTGATAGATATGTATTTGTTTATTGAGCGTGGCCAGCTCCGCTAGCTTCTCTACACAGACAAGTGTGCAGAAAAACTGCACGATGTAGTGACAGGCGCTGATAGCTTGTTGTACTTGCAAAGTAATGGCAGTATTTTACAAACCTGAATTACATCAGAGATTGTATTGGGGCTGCGGTCATTATTGTTAGAGTTCTGTTATCAAGAAAAAATGATCGGAAGAATTGCATTCAAGTCAATGGAGTGCTGCTGCTGTGAGGAGCTGTATAATAAATTATAATAAATATTAGAATATATTCTAATGTTTAAATTAATACATTCGGACGTGAAACTAATGGTATTCTTTTACTTATATATTGTGTTAGCAGTGCATTGCTTTAGTACCATTTCATCAGTGATTGTTGCACAGTTACATGTACAAGTTGCGCTAATGCTAATGTTAGCATACGTATCAGATCGCAAATAAAACTAGGTGGTTCTGTGTTATGAGAGCGCAGGAGAAATGAGAAGCCTGTGAGCGAGGTGGGGGGCGGTGCTAAACATTCAAACATTGCAGAAACGGGTATAGCACCTTTAAAGCCCTGGGGTCAGCTTGACATTCAAAACATAAAATCTATGTCTAAATTTGGCAAAATAAAAAATGTGTTTATAAAATGGTTTTAAAATAACGTCGAAGTAGTTAAATTGATCCAAATGTTATTCCCGTTGATTTGAATTGTTGGGTAAGTCAATTCAATTCAGTTTACTTCATCCACTTGGGGGACTTTAAAACGTTTTCAATTTACCAAAAACAGACCAGAGAATCAAAACATTTATTCATAGGAAATGCCCATAAAAGGTCCTTAAATGAGAATGGTTGACCCTGTGGACCTGCCCTGCTTCTGTCAGTCTGCCCTAAGGCCGCTGTGGCTATCATACAGCAGTTAAATAATAAACAAATACAATCTCGGATGCAAGCAGACGCACTGCACTCATTATCAGTGTGATTTACTGTGTTTTCTGTTCAAGATTAGCATGATTTATTGTGTACTGTACAAGTGTCTATTTATTCTGTGTCTGTCCCTCCTCAAATAATAATAATAATAATAATAATAATGACAATAATGACAATAATAATAACGATAATCTGTATGAAATAAAAATATTAATTTCCCATGTATTTGAAAAGAGAGCTGCCTGCTGTGGTGCGCGGTGCTTTACCTCACAGCGTAGGTCATGCGGTCAGGCCTCAGCGCCCTCATCACACACAGCCTCTGCAGAGCCGTCTTGTTCTTCCACTCCTGAGGCAGAGGCTCCTTCTCTGGACATTCCGACTCCACCAACTTCCTCCAGCGTTTGGACGAGCCCTCGATGTCTCGGTCCAGGTTGCGGAAGTCGTCCATGGCGCACAGCGACTGCCCACAGAGACCAGCGCAGCACTTTATCACACACGCGACCACCACTGATTCATAAACATTTTCCACAATACACAACAAAGGAAAGGACTGCGCTTGCACAAGTCTGGGGGATAAATAAAAGCAACAAAAGCCGACAGAACTGCTTATCTGTCTAATATAAATAATCTTTATTCGGGGAAAGTGCTGAGCAGACACGACGTGGGCAGAGCAGAGGGGGGAGGGGAGGGAGAGGGGGGAGGCGTCTGAAGTTCATCCGACTGACACAGCATCAGATGAGCACTACACAAGGTACACACACACGCACACAATTGCACATACATACATACACACACACAGAAACACACACACAAATAAATGTCCACACGCACACACCCACCCAAACAAACGCACATTCACTCACCCACCCACTCCCACAGACACACACCCACACATCAGCAAACATACCCACACACACACAAACAAACATACACTCACACACACATACCACACACAGATACATACACACATACACGCACATTCTTGTACACTTTCTGGCAATGTACCAATGACGACGGACATACTTTTCTGTTTTTTAACGTTTAAAGACACATATTATGTCAAATTACCTCTGTCATGTTTTATCATTGTTCCCTCAAAAAAAAAAAAAAAAACTCAGTTTTCTGCTTTATTAGACAATATTAATTATCTCCTAGCATAAAACAATACACCAAAGTCACAGTTCTATAGATATTGCGATACGAGGGTAATAATTCAGTCGGTTCTTTTGATTATGATTTCGGTTCTCTGTTTGTTGTTTTTAACAAGCAAAAATACAAGAAATAGGGGTAACACTTTAGATTAGCCCTCATTAGTAAACCTCTAACTAAGTGCTAATTAGTGTACCCTCACCCACATGGGGAAATGTCAGTTAGTAGTTAGTTAGATGCTGAATAAGGCCATGTAGAAAAAGACTAAAGTGCTTCATAAATACCAATGGCTAATCAATCATAAATGATACTCTAGCTAGCACTTAATTAGCCGTTTCACAGTGAGGGCTAAAATAATATGACCAGAATTAATATTGCACCATCCGCCAGTCCTGAACCCAGAGACAGACATGAGCAGCGAGTCTGAGTCTATGTGTTTTTATAAAAGGCTAAAACAAAACAACATCAACAGCAGAAGGACAGGGATGAGAAATACAAACAATCTTTCATTCGATACAACCAATCAAATGAAAGAGGGCGTGTCCAACAAGTCCATAAAATATTGAGAACCGTTCCATCCCTACTGCTTTTACCTTTTTGATTATAGTGAAATAATGGGCCAGACTGTGGTCCCCATGTCGAGTGTGTGTAGTTCTCGTCCCCACACTGTGATGAATACCTGCGCGCACATCTCTTCTGCAGAGACACACTCGTTTCACTGAGAGCGGAGGACACTTTCTACTTCACTTAAAATCCTGCTCCTTTTAAAGCAGTTGTAGAGTTGTTTTTAATCCACTACATTATTGAAATGCGTCTGACTCTGGCTCTGAGTGCTGCTCAGTTTAGTTTGGTTTAGAGTCAAACAGTTCCGTGGCACAAACGGATAATAGTCAAAGGTCGTACACTATCGTTCATCAGTTCCTAAATGTGTTTCCCACGCGACGCACTCAACATGTGACAAGTGATTATAGGACTTTTGTAGTGCTGTAGTTTTTCTGCTTTCTATTAGAATGCATAATTGCCAAAAAGTGGTCCTAAACATTTATAGAACCCACAATCTACTGTTTCCTCTCTAATGTAACATGAGAACTCCCAGAGCAGTCAATCAGACAGCTTTTAATTCTGAAAGTGTGATTTATCAGCTTATGCACGTTTTTTGCCTCCCTTTCTCTGTTTTTTTTAAACTTTTTTTTTTTTTTTAAGATGTGATTAGTTCTATCTTTAACTCCAAGACATGGCAACCAATTTTCTCTGGCAGTTGAGATCCTAATTTAAGATGCCGGTTCTGGACTGGGCATATAGGTTCCGTCTAGACTGGTTCTGGGCTGGTCCTGTACTGGGTCTGGTTTTCTAAGAGAGAAGAGTAAGTTATTCTGCTCATATTCATATTCTACGCTGCTAATGTACAATATACACATCTGTAGATACTTCTGAACCAAGTGTAATTATAGCCCAGAGTTTATCTTATTTTATTCTTTATCTTAATTATATAGTCTTTTATCTTAAATAATAGACCCGATTTGATGTGTGCAATCTGAGTGCTCATATTTCCTTCTTTCTCTGCTGTAATGTGCGCAACGGTGACACTGAAATTTCTCCACTGCGAGACGAATAAAGGTTTATCTTATCTCATCTTATCTACAGTGCCTTGCGAAAGTATTCGGCCCCCTTGAACCTTTCAACATTTCGCCACATTTCAGTCTTCAAACATAAAGATATAAAATTATTTTTTTTTGTCATGAATCAACAACAAGTGGGACACAATCGTGAAGTGGAACGAAATTTATTGGATAATTTAAACTTTTAAAAAAAATAAAAAACTGAAAAGTGGGGCGTGCAATATTATTCGGCCCCTTTACTTTCAGTGCAGCAAACTCACTCCAGAAGTTCAGTGAGGATCTTTGAATGATCCAATGTTGTCCTAAATGACTGATGATGATAAATAGAATGCACCTGTGTGTAATCAAGTCTCCGTATAAATGCACCTGCTCTTTGATAGTCTCAGGGTTCTGTTTAAAGCGCAGAGAGGACCATGAAGACAAAGGAACAGGAATGTTGATGTTCGCAAGGCACTGTAAGTAATAGTTACCATAGAAACACAAAGTTTCCTTGCTGCAGTTAGCATGTGGTGTTTAGCATTAGCCTTTCAACAAAGCTTTGCCGTATCTTAAGTAAAAATCACTGGTTTGAATGATGAACATTTATAAAATCTAGTAAACAAAATACCTTTGGGGGGATTTTTCAGAATTCCATGGGTTTGATAGAGAGCAGTCAAAATGACGAGAAAAAAATATCTGGGAGTTCTAGAAGTTTCCAGACTTAATAAATTTAAAATAAACATTACATTTAGAGCATACATTAATTCAAAACCCCTTGTATCCTAATTTCCTTGACTCACAGTGTCCCTGTTGTACTTTGGGGAATAATCAATGTATTTCTGTCACTCCAGTGTTCTATTCCTACATTGTTTTCGCTGGTGTCAGGGGGCTAATTGAGGATTAGAAAACCTCTATGTAATGCTGCTGGAACTAAATCTTTAAAACTGGCCCTGGCAGTAACATAATACAAAATCAAGTTTTTTGGGCTTACGACATTGTTCATCAGTCACAGACCTGTAGTTGTTTTTAGATCCATTCATTCTACTACCAGCAACTTCTGGCACATGTAACTAACATGTAACTAACTAATAACGCTGTCTAAAAGCTATGTCTCCGTCCTGGCACCAGTGCGACATCCTCCACAACAAAAACAAAAGTTCTGCCCATGAATGAGTTTTGGTCATAAAAAAAAAACAAAAAAAAAACTTAAGTCCAACATAAGTTCTTTATTCCAACTCACAGGCACCTTTTTACGCAGGAGGTTTTAGATGAATGAAGGTTTGGTGTCAATCTCTTATCTCCCCCTGTACCCATCTCCATACTCTCTCTCCTCTCCTCTCCTCTCACCCCTTCCATGTCTTCCTCAATGTCAAAAGCTGTGATTGTCTGAGCAGAAGAACTGAGCAGACCAAGGGGACAAACTGACTAAATAAAGTGACAGTGGACACATGCGATTCTATGTTGCAGTCTGACGTTGGTTCAATTTATTGCACAGATGCACGACATGTGAGGTCAGGTCAACAGTCCTTGCTAGTCCTCATTGTTCGTTGTAGAGTCTGACTGCAGCAGGAGGGAAAGGGACTAAACGCACACTAAAATCAACTGGAACAAATCTACAAATCTAAACGGCTTCTCAGCAAGAAGGTCCTGGGTTCGAATCCCAGTCGGAACAGGGCCTTGCTGAGTGGAGTTTGCATGTTCTCCCTGTGTCTGCGTAGGTGTCCTCCAGGTGCTCCGGTTTCCCCTACCATTAAAAACATGCACAATAGGTCTGAATGTAAATGGGAGAGTGAATGAATGGGGTTTGGTCAGAGGCTTTGATGGTCCAGTGAGTTCGGCGTCTCGCTTCCGTCATCACCGTGCGGAGAGAATGGAACAATTTTGGAACTCTGAACATTGTAAAGCGCTTTGGGTGACCTTGGTCTGTAAAATGCGCGATATAAATAAACATTACAATTCATTTTGGGTTTTACTGTATACTATCTTGATAATCCATCCATCCATTTTCTTCCCCTTAATCCATTTCTGGGTGGGGGGGGGTGGCAGTCAGAGCTGCACCCAGTACACTAAGCACCAGCCCCTTACTGATCCTCCTGCAGGTGGTGAGTCCACAGGAGCTGAGATCTTTCAGCAGGGGCTTGAGGCAAAGTGGGGTTAAATGTCTTGCCCAAGGACACAACGACAGCAGTCATCAGTGGGAGTTGTGAAGTAGGTCTTACGGTGGGCTTGAACCCACAACCTTCAGGCTCAAAGGCCATTGCTCTACCAACTGAGCCACTGTCGCCCCCACTGTCTTGATAATATGATCTCTAATTCACTTCAATTGGAATCAAACTGGGAAATCATAGAAACAGAATATCGTCTGAGTGACCCCAAACTATAGCACAATAATATGTACGCACTCACACCAGGACATGAATTTCTTCCTGCGAATAATAGCATAATTCCCTTGGCGCGCCCATCCAGACTGACCCCCGCTCGCACAAGTAGGAAAAACACTTTTGAATAATCTCTGTTTGAAAACAACCATCCATCTTTACACGCTCCATCTATTTGTAAATGTGCAAGGTGAATCGACGCAGACGCCGATGCATCTGCAGATCCACAAATATCCTGAGACGGCAACAAAAGCTGTGAAATCAAAGTGTGCTGCTGGAGAAAGTGTGGCCTCTGCATAAAAGTTTGTGGCACGTTTAAAAGGACTGGGCTGGAG